TTCTTGAATTTTTCTTCGGGAATTGAAACGCACTTATAGTATATACAAGTATCCCAAATAAACTCAAAAATAAGACCCAGGGCCCACTCGACTAATTTCAGAATTCCGGCATGGCGGCTCCGCTGTGCTCCGGTGTCAGTGCCGCCGCCCACAGCAGCGATCCACCTCGGGTTTGCTGTTTTCAGTTGTTTTCGGCCAAATTCAACCGAACTTGCACCAATTCCTGCGATAAAACACACTTAGGGCCCTCGGTGGATCGAAAAAATACAATAAATCGAAACTCACCGGTGGTGGGGCTCTCTGGTGCGGCGGCTCCTCCGACTCACGTTGCGGTTGAGTGTTTTGCTTCGGTCAACTTGTAGAGAAGGAAACGATGGTCACAATGGTGAAAAAATAACATCAAACGGGAATCGGAAAGGGCCTCATCGGAGGCATTTTCTGAAACACCCTGCGGCAGCGTTTTCAGGCCAATTGACCGGTTGTTTCACTTTGATTTGGCCAGTGATGCGTTTAAAATTGAATTTCGTGTAAGAGGAGAAATTTTTTCTTCGTTTGGCAGTCGGAAATTGCTCTGGTACGGCGGCGGGTGGCGGCGGTCGGCTCCCCGACGACTGGGCTGTCTTCTCCGGCGAGGGACTCTGGCGGCCAGGGTTAGGGTTTGGGTGCGGATTGGGTTATTTATACCCATTTGCTTTTGATCTAGGTCATCCATCGCGATTCAATATGAACCGTCTGTGCGCGATTCAATCTGGACCATCCGTGCGCGATGCAATCTAGGTCGTTCGTGCATGTTTTTTATCTGGGCTGTCCATGCGTGCGGGATCTCAGCCGTTCCATCACGCGTACGCAGATCGCCCACGTGGCTCCCCCCATGGCCTCCCGCGTCAGCGTCTCTGCCACCCGGCGCATCCTGGTTGGTCGGGGCTGCTGACCGGGCAGCTGACATGGCATAACTTTTCTAAATTGCGTTTTAACTCCCGGTTTCTGATTTTTTTTTTCAAAAATACTCTCAGAACCTAAATTTTCACCCATTTTTTCCAAATTTTTTTTTAATTAAATCCCTAACCAATTTTTACCCCTTATTATTATTATTATCATTAAATCAAATTAAAATTAAATAAATCAAATTAAAATCATATAAATAATAATTATATTCATATAAAAATAATAATAATCAATAAAAAGAAAAAAAAAAGAAAGGTTAGGTGTTATTTCTTTTAGAGAACTTATTCCGTGATATTATTTAGTATGTTTAAGTTATTGTGTAAAGGATGTTAACCTTAATTTTTTATTTCGCTTCCGCACTCAGATTATTATATGTATTTCTTTTTGAATTTCCGGGACCATTACACTATGACCCTGCCATGTTGTATCAGAACACAACCCAACCCCAGGTATGAGACATTACTATACACTATATATCCACATGTCTTACTCAGTAAGACCAACACAGGTACCGTAGTCAACCACTTTTTAATTTCTGTAAAACTCATTTCACAATTCTCGTTCCATTCAAACTTAACGTTCTTTGTGAGCTGGGTCAAATGAGCGAGTAGGCTAAAAAATTCTTCTACAAACCTGCTGTAATAGCCTGTCATTCCCAAAAAAGTATGAATCTTCTTAACTGAGGTCAATCTCTCCCAACCAAGAACTGTCTCAACTTTTTCGGGGTTCACTAATACTTCATCTGTTGATGTAATATGTCCTTAAAAGATAGTCTGCTCGAGTCAGAACTCACACTTGCTTAATTTTGTATATAGTTTCTTCTATCTGAGAACTTGCAATACTTTAGTCAGGTGATGAGCGTATTTCTCTCTACTCTTTGAGTAGAGTAAGATATCATTGATAAACATAATGACGAACTAATACAGAAATTGTATAAAAATCTTATTTATCAAATTTATAAAAATGACTGGTGTATTAGTTAGTGCAAAGAGCATGACCAAGAACTCATAATGTCCTTACCTGGTTCTGAAAGCTTTATTGAGAATGCCCTCTGCTATAATCTTTACCTTATGGTAACCCGAACGCAAATCTATCTTGAAGAAAATCTAAGCACCCTACAATTGGTCAAAAAGATCATAAATTCTGGGGATGGGGTACTTGTTTTTTATCGTGAATCTATTCAATATCCTGTAGTCAATACACAATCATAATATCCCATCCCTTTTACTTATAAATATGACTCCAGCACCCCAAGAAAGTACACTATGTCAGATCGACCCATTGTCCTGTAATTCATTGATCTATTTTCTTAGTTCTTTTATCTCGATATGATTCATGTGGTAAAAGGCCACCGAGATAGGCTGGATGTTAGACTAAAGATCTATGGTGAACTCAGCTTTCTTGTCCATCGACAGTCTGAGTAGTTTGTTAGGAAATATACCCGAAAAGTCTCAGATTACTAAAATCTCTTGAATTCAAACTTTTTTCTTAGGTTTGCTTAATATAGAGAAGACAACCGAGTTAAATCACTATATAATGAGAAAATTACCATGAGAAAATAACATTTAAAATTTTCATTAACTTGCAAATAGTTCTTCGTTAGGAGGGTTGAATGCAAGTTTCTTATTAAAATAATGTACGATGGTGTGATACACTGCTAACTAGTTTATTTTCAGAGTTACATCAAAGTTCCCTGTCTCAATCTTTATCACGTCCACACTCAGTTTTTTATATGTTATGTTTATGATATAAGCTTTGTATATAACCTTCCCTAGTAGTGCCCTACATCCAGAAGTA